CTATCTATCTATCTATCTATCTATCTATCTATCTATCTATCTATCTACCTACCTATCTATCTACCTATCCATCTATCTATGTCTGTATATCTATCAGTATCTCTCTATCTCTCTCTCCATCCATCCTTCCATCTCCTAATCTAATCCCTAATCTATGTCAATCTATCATAGCTAGCTATCTAGTTATCATCTATCTAATTATCACCTTTCTAGCTGTCTGTCTCTCCAAGGGAGATGGGCAGCTTAGAAATGTGAACTATGTAGCAACCAATCAATCTTCACCACCCAGAGCCCCTCCCCAAGGAAGATGGGCAGTTAAGAAACATGAGCTATGTCTATATTAATCAATCGAGCCTGGATAGCTCTGCAGACAAAGGCACTGTAATTTAACACCAGCTGCCTGCAATTACTGCTGGTTCGAATCTCTCCAAGGCTCAAGGTTGACTCAGCCTTCCATCCTTTCTAAGGTGGGTAAAATGAGGACCCGGATTGTGGGGGCAATAAGCTGACTTTGTATAAAATATACAAAAGGATGAAGGCTATTGCTTAACGCACTGTAAGCCGCCCTGAGTCTCCGGAGAAGGGCGGCATATAAATCAAATTAAAAAAAAATCAATCAATATCGGGCATTTTCCACCTTCCTGGCTCCCAGGTAGGATCAAAGCAGCAACAAACCGGGTTTCCCCTTACACGAAGGCTGTGGTGGCGCCAGGGTTGAGATGGACAGGCAAAATGTCTGCATAGGTCTCGTCCAGAGAGAGCAGGACGTTGGCTGCCTGCTGGCCGGATTCAGCCACCGCCAAGAGCCGGGGCAGGTCCCGGTAAGCGTCTGGGCCAGCCACGATATCGACCAATTTCTCCTCGTCCAAAATTTTCTCCTTCAGCCTCTCGGCCATGCAGCCTGCAAGAAGACGCAGAAGCGTGAGCCGAAGGGAAGAGAAGAAAAGGGCAGGAAATCTTGATCTGGAGACGCCACGCGGTTTCTCATCCCTGCCACGAACCAGATTTTACACATTCAAAATCGTGAGATGTACAATAGATGGAACATCTTTGGGTCTACGGGGAGGAGGGGGGACGGGGACGGACGGACCACTTTTTAATACTCCCACGGATTAAAAGTAACAACCAAGCACCTGCAGCTGAAAAATTTCCCATTTACAGGGCAGAATTCAAAACATCGTGACACTTGTTTCAACACAAGTTATTTTATTACTGTTATTTAGATTTTTATTCATCCATTTCTTACGCCTTCGCATGTGAACACTTACCTAAAATATATACTTAATTAGCATTTTATCCCACATTTTTTTATTTTTATAAATGACTCAAGGTGGCAAACATACCTAATACTCCTTCCTCCTCCTATTTTTCTCACAACAGCCCTGTGAGGTGGGTTGGACTGGCCCAATGTCACCCAGCCAGCTTTCGTGCCCACGGTGGAACTAGAACTCACCATCTCCCGGTGACTGGCCCAAAGTTAGCCGGTTGGCTTCGGTGCCTAAGGCGGGACTAGAACTCACCGTCTCCTGGTGATTGGCCTAAAATCCAGCCAGCTTTCCCAGCTAAGCCCAGCCGGTTTTTGTGCCTCAGGCAGGACTAGAATTCATGGTCTCCAGTGATTGGCCCAAAGTCACCTAAACTGGGAACTACAACTCAGTGTCTCCTACTAATTGGCCCAAAGTCACCTAGCCAGCTTTCATGGCTAAGGCAGGACTAGAACTCATGGTCTCCCAGTTTCTAGCCTGGTGCCTTCACCACTAACCTGGGATGTCGAGGTGAGGCGACTTCTAACTATGGGTAGCTCCAGCTTTTGAAAGACCTGGCCTAACCACTGATCCCAGTCCTAACTTCCCACCCCAGAGGAGAAAACAACCTCCACAAAAAAAAAAAAAAAAAAGTGGGAAATTCACCTACTGTCCCTTCCCTGATCTTCAGACACTCCCAGTCCGAGCCCCAGGTGGTCCCCCTTCCCGTAAGAGCCTTTATTGCTACGAGCGTTCCTATTACCTAAGATCCCGATCCGCAGAGACCTCCGCGAACGTTGCCGTTTCGTCTTGAGAGTTTTGAACACCCGCAGGCGATTCCAGACCGTCTGCTCGGCCTTCTCCCTGCCAAGCAATGAAACATGGATGAAACTTTGCCCAGGCTGGAAGAGTCACTAAAAAAATCTCTGCTCAAGGTGGAGAGAGCTTCTTCCCAGACCCTTCTGGAAATCCAGAATAGAATAACAGAATATGGCCCCATTTTGGGGCTCCCAAACTTTCCATCGTCACGTTTTCGCCCTTCCTGGCCCCCAGAAGCACTCTGCAGGCCAAAAACAGGCCCGTTTTGTGGTGAAGCCAAGCACTGCAGAGTGCTTCTGGGGGCCGGGGAGGGCAAAAATGCAACACGCGGAGGCCAACAACTTTTTTTTTACTTGTTTTCCTCCTGTAAATCTAGGTGCGTCCTATAGTCCGAAAAATATAGTATGTCAGGTTTCGTGGTCGTCTCAAATAAATTGCATTTCGAACAAAGTCTTTGAAGGAAAACTCCCATTTATTAAACACCACATTCTAACTCCGACTCCATCGAAGCCAACACTGACTTCCAGACCCAGAACCCTCCCTTTCCGTTCCCCACTCCCCTGCACTCATTGGCCATCTTCCAAGTCACTCTACCCCTAATCTACTGCTTCAGCTCAAAGGAATTTCCCCCCTCCCATCCCATCTCCAAGGGGATATTATCTCCAGGGAAAAGAAGTAGGTGAAAAGTCAAACGTCCCTTTCCAGACGCCTCCGCTTCTCCTTCTTATGTCAGCACTAGAGTAAATGCAGCTTGAAGTGCTGACACAGTAAATATTTCTAATCCAAAAAAATGACAGTACAATCCAGCAGCAGAATCATCGTTGCATCTTCTAGCCCAAGGGAAAAAAAGCTGGAATAGACTCCAGACACCTTGAGACTAAAAGAGCAAGGTTAAAGAGGGGATGAATGGCACTGTATGTTGGAATTATTTTTAAATACAAACCAATGAACTATCTCGGTCTTACCTGATGGAACATGTGACAAGCAGAACCACGTCAGCCTAAAAGAGGTGGGGGGGGGGGAGAAAGAATTATTAAACACAAACAGGGGGAGGAAGAAACAGATTTCCTTCTCTGGGATCGAATATTCCACATCTACACAAGAGTGGCCTTCTTGCCTGATAAAAGAAACCTTAAAAAGCTCTTTTTTTCAGCAAAAAACCAAACATAAAAAAAATCTACTGTATCTCCAGCATTTAAACTTATCTTATCTGGGTGATCGTATGGGGGTCAGAAAAAGGCCACCAGAATCTGTTTCTCCAATTTTATGATGTCATCATTTTAATAATAATAAATTGAACTTTGTGACAGCATGGATTATTGTGTCACAAGACACGATTTGACTCTGTCGTGTTAAGCTGAATAGTTGGGGTCCTGGGTGCTCTCTGAGTTTGGTTGTTTTCTTGCAAGACGTTTCGTTAGCCAACTAGGGAACATCATCAATGTTAGAAGGGAGTGGGGAGGAGGAAGACTGAGGCGCTCTTTGAGTTTGGTGGCTTTCTTGTAGACGTTTCATGACCCAACTAGCTAATTTATTTATTTTATTTATTTTATTGGTTCGATTTATATGCCGCCCTTCTCCGGAGACTCAGGGTGATTTACAATGCATTAAGCATTAAGTTCATACTTTTGTATATACCTGCTTAGTAGGGCTTTCGGCCCCCACTAAGTGGTGTTCTTTTTTATACAAAGTCAGCTTATTGCCCCCACAAACTGGGTCCTCATTTTACCTACCTTTGAAAGGATGGAAGGCTGAGTCAACCTTGAGCCTGGTGAGATTCGAATTTACAGTAATTGCAGGCAGCAGATGTTAATAACAGTTAATAACAGTGCTTTAGTCCACTGTGCTACCAAGGCTCTATTGACTGCTAGAGTTTTCCAAATCAAAAAACTACTCACAAACAAGCTAACAGTATACAATCAAGGAACCACCAGGAACATTCCCACCAATACTGACAAGCCACTAGTATCTAGAAAACCCCACTCCCTTCTAGCGCCAATGATGTTACCCAGTTGGGTCATGCAAGGAAAAATAAACAAGCCCAGAGAGCACCAAGGACCCCTCAACCCCCAGATAGTGCACTGGGTCTGTCTGAGACAGGGCAACGAATGAATGCATGGCACTTCCATTACTCCAGCCACTGAGGCCATTGCTGGAAAGTGCCCAGCCTGGACTTTTGAGTACCTCTGCCAGGTTGCTGGTCCTCTGGTACCCGCTCTGCTGGAGGATGGCCCAGGCTGTCTCCGTGTCGCTGACGTTCATTTGGCAGCCGTAGGTCTCCAGGTAGACTACAAGGCAGAAGCGGAGGAGGAGTGGAGAAGGAGGAAGAGGAGGAGAAGGTGATGAAGGAGAAGGAGGAGGATGTAGAGGGAAGGAGGAGGAGGAAGGAGGAAGGAGAAAGGGGAGAGGAGGAAGGAAGGAGAGGAGGAGGAAGAGGGAGGAGGAGGAGGAGGAGGAAGAGGGAAGGAGGAGGAGGAAGAGGTGATGAAGGAGAAGAGGATGTAGAGGGAAGGAGGAGGAGGAGAGGGAAGGAGGAGGAGGAGGAGGAGGTGGTGAAGGAGAAGGAGGAGGAGGAGGAGGAAGGAGGAGGAGAGGAGGAAGAAGAGAAGGAGAGGAGAGGAGGTGATGAAGGAGAAGGAGGAGGATGTAGAGGGAAGGAGGAGGAGGAAGAGGGAAGAGGAGGAAGAGGAGGTGGTGAAGGAGAAGGAGGAGGAGAAGAGGGAAGGAGGAGGAGAGGAGGAAGAGGGAAGGAGGAGGAGGAGGAGGAGGGAAGGAGGAGGAGGAGAGGTGATGAAGGAGGGAGGAGGATGTAGAGGGAAGGAGGAGGAGGAAGAGGGAAGGAGAAGAGGAGGAGGAGGAGGAGGAAGAGAAGGAGGAGAGATTTCTTGAGGCAGGGAGCACTGAGTAGTTGTGCCCTTTATTTTGGAGGTTGCTCCATTCTCTATGTGGGTAGTCCTCAGCTTACAACATTCCTCTAGTGACCATTCAAAGCTACAGCAGCACTGAAAAAAGAGACTTACGGCCATTTCTCAGACTTACGGCCACTGCAACATCTCTAATGACCACGTGATCAAAATTCAGACACTTGCCAACTGGTTCGTATTTATGACGGTCGCAGTGTCCCGGGGTCAGGTGATTCCCCCTTCTGCGACCTTCCGACAAGCAAAGTCAACGGGGAAGTCAGATTCACTTAACAACCATAACTTAACAACTGCAGTGGTTCATTTAACAACTGTGGCAAGAAAAGTTGTAAAATGGGAGCAAAACTTAACACCTGTCTCAGTTAGCAATGGAAATTTTGGCCTCAACTGTGGTCGTAAGTCGAGGACTACCTGTAAGCAGGCCCTCTGGGCCAAGACCCCTGCCTGTCCCTGGACAAATGCCCATTTGTATCTCACAGAGGAGATACCCACCCAGTACCTGCAACTAAACCCATCTAGGATAGAAGTTCCCATCCAACTCGACTTTTGGTAACCGTAAAGACAGTTTTCTTAGCGGCACTGTCATTCTGGGACTCCGTGACCTAATCTACAACCTCAGCATTTCCTGGTGGTCTCCCATCCATCCAAATTCAAACCAGGTTCAACTCTGCTTGGGGCCAGGGCTGCTGTTTCGTCGTGAGGCAAAAACTATTTTGCCGATGTAAGGGAGCAAATTCACTGTGGTTGCGCAGCAGGACACAGAGCATCTCCCCCCAAAAAATGCCCCTATATAAAATCAAGTCAGCCCTTGTGTAGCATTTCCGGAAAGGCAGGGTGGATTTGATTTAAATCGATTCGATTTATATCATGATTTAAATCACTAGTAAAAAGGTTTGATTTAAATCAACTCGATTTAAATCATAATTTTTAAAGAGCAACTGTCATCTCTGCTCCTCCTTTGACCCACTGTTGACTCACCGATAGTCCCAGTGTTGCAGAATATACAGCCTCATGCTACATAACTAAGCTCCATTTCATGCTGAATAAACTAAATTATTTATGTATCTTAAATAGAAAACAAAATAGATTCTTACCCCAAAAGTTTTTTATTAAAATAAATTCAATAAAAATCAAAAAAATCTGATTTAAATCAAAAAAATCCGATTTAAATCAAAAAAATCCGATTTTTTTTATTTTTTTAAAAAAAATCATTGATTTTTATCCACCCTGCGGAAAGGTGTGATGGAGCGACCGTACTCACCTTTCTTCGGGGAATCTGCCAGGCTGATGGGTCCAAGGTAAGGGGCGGGGTCTTCCAAGACATCAGCTGGCAAATGATGGGCATCCTTCACAGAGCAGCCGATTGCAGGAAATGCTGCAGAGATGGACCCCCTACCATTTGGAGCGGAAATCTTCAAGGCTTCCTTCCCCTCTTTGTTTTTGGAGGAATCTCAGGATCCGGAGCGCAGGTCGAAAGCCAGGCCCGAAATCCTGACCGCACGGACCGACACAGAGGCCTCGGGCAAACCAGCGCACCACGCAAAGCCAGCATCTTGGCACGAGGCCCTCCTGCTCCCTAAAGCAACAGATTAGAATAATCAGTCATCTCTTGCTTGGCGTCTTTCAAACAAAATGGTGGGGGGAGGGAGGAGACATATTGTTTCATGAATGGAGAGTACGAATAAATGAGCCAGTCTGTCTCTCAACCTAACCCACCTCACAGGTTGCTGTGGGGGGAAAGAGGATTAGGGATGTTCTCTACCTAAAAAGTTGGGATAAAATTAGATAGGTAGGTGGGATGGATTGGAAGTTACGGTAGGTAGAAAGAGAGAGAGAGAGATAGTAGGTAGGATAAATAGATGATAGATACTGTAGATAGATGATAGAGAGACATAGAGATAGAAATATGATAATAGATGAAGAAAGATATGATAGATATGAATAGATATAAATAAGATACAGATATGATAGATAGATAGACAGATATGGATGGATGATAATGATGGATGGATGGATTGAAAGATTTTATATATAGTATTAATATAATAAAAGAGAGAGAGAGAAGAGAGGAGAGAGAGAGAGAGAGAGAGAGAAGAGAAGGATGAGAGAGAGAGAGAGAGAGAGGATGAGATAGAGATAGATAGATAAATAGATAGATAGATAGATAGATAGATAGATAGATAGATAGATAGATAGATAGATAGATAGATAGAAGGATAGATAGATAGATAGAAGAGAGATAGATAGATAGATAGATAGATAGATAGATAGATAGATAGATAGATAGATAGATATAGATGGAGAGAGAGAGAGAGGATAGAAGACAGACAGATATCCCAAAATTTAGGCAAGGAACATTCCTAATCCTCCTGCCTCTTTTGCATGTTTTATATTTATATACACATGTACACAAATATAAAAATCCATGTGTAAATATAACTTTGTAATATTAAAACTATATATATTAGGGAATAGGAATAACGAGAAAAAATAGGGGTGAAATGTAAAAAAAGAAAGAATGAATATGTCAATGTATAGAAAATATAAAGTTAATAGGGTCTTAACAAATACATTGTAATTAAAAGAGAAGAATAGAAGAAACTGGAATAATATAAAGGGAAAAGGAGAAAATGTAAATATTAGAAAAAGATAATCACAAAATAGCTGCTAAGAGAGAGTGTATATATAAATGTTGTATGTATTGTGATGTCATTTTATGTTTAATAAAATAAAAATAAAAAAAAAATTAAAAACAAAACAAAAACTATATATATATATATATATATATATATACTATATAATATAATATATATATATATATATATTTTGTCTTAAGTTTTTGCGAGTGTGTATATGCAAAAAATTAAAATCTCGGGTGTTCTCCCGCATCAATTAAATAAGTTAGTTAGAATGTTTGTTAAAATTCTGAATTTAACTTATTTAATATGACTGAAAACATCCAGATTTAAATTTTTTGCATATATATATTTATACGTATATATCAATTTGTGATATCACACACACACACAAAACAGATCTGCGCCTAAAAAGGTGGATAAACATGTATGTATGTAGGTAGTAGGTAGGTAGGACTAGGTAGGTAGATACTTTGGTTATTTGGGTTTTTCTCCCGCAAAATTGGATGTCTTGGCGACGTTTCAACGAAGTCTCATTCGTCATCTTCACTGGTGTTTTCGGCTTCGTGCTTCTAGGAGCAATGAAGCCGAGAACACCAGCCTGAAATGACGAATGAGACTTCGTTGAAACGTCGCCAAGACACCTCCAATTTTACCGGGAAAAACCCGATAACCCAAGACATATATATATATATCTTCTTAAGTTTTCGCGTGTATGTAAAAGTTAAAATCTTGGGTTTTTCCCGCATCATTATAAGTTATTTTATATATATACACACACACACCACACAGAGAAAAGACATATAATACAGACACACACAAACACATATATATTATTCCCCCTTTATAGGCGCAGAATCCTCCTGCCTCCTCTTTTCCAACAACAACCCTGTGAGGTAGGCTGGCCGAAAGGTACCGGCCTGGAGCCCTCCCTCAGCCTCCTTTCATTCATTCATCCATCCACTCATTAAATTATCATCATTATCATGATCATTATTATTATTATCATTATCCATTTTATCCCACCTTTTCGGCGGAGAAGACCCCTAACGCCCCCTCCCCAACTCTCCCCAGGAAACCCCCCACCCAGGGAAGGGGGCGGAACAGGGGGGGGCTGTTACCGGGCTGCCCCACCGAGGAAGGAGACGGGGAGACTTCAACAACCCACGAACCCCGGGATGGCCGTGGACGAGCGAAGGCGTCTTTTGAGTGACGGACACCGGAAGTGAAAGAGGGACTTCCGGGGAGGAGAGAGCCGACTCCTCATGCAGTAGCGCGGCTCAGCCTCTGATCACGTGGGCGCCTCTCGCGCTGTGGGTGCATCGCCCAAAGTGTCCCCCTTTGGAAACGCTGTTCGTGGAGCAACGTTCCGGCCTCTAACCTTCGGTCTGGGTGGTTCCCTTTCTTTTTCTTTCTTTCTTTCTTTCTTTCGTTTCTTTCTTTCTTCTTTCTTTTCTTTCTTTCTTTTCTCTTTCTTTCTTTCTTCTTTCTTTTCTCTCACTCTCTCTCTCTCTCTCTCTCTCTCTCTCGCTCTCTTTCTTCTTTCTTTCTTTCTTCTTTCCCTCTTTCTCAACCTTGGGAGTTTTAAGAGTGGGCTTCAACCCCTAGAAGACCCCCAGCCAGAAAGCAGGAGGACTGGAGAAGTGTTTTTCACCTCTTAGCCCCTGGTGAAGTCCATACATCATCATGAGGTGATGTATGGACTTCATCTCCCAGAATGCCTCAGTAGGGAAGTAGGGAGGGGTAGAGCAGTATTTTCCCAGCTTGGAATTCTGGGAGTTGAAGTCCACCCACCTTAAAGGGGCTGAGCGTTTGAAAATACTGCTCTGTTATGTTCCCCACTGCACTGGTTGATCCACTATTACGCAGCATCATTAACCTGGGCAGGCTGCTGGGTTAACCCAGGTTCTGCGTTCATACGGTGGCTTTAAACCAGGTTAAAAGGCCCAGGTGGATGCTGCCTGGGGCCATTCGTTGCCTGGGGAACCTGGGGTGAGAAGTCACCCAAGAGAAATAAAAGAAGCAGCTCAGGTCTCTGCCAGGAGAGGCTGCCTGCCGTCTTCACCAGCAATATCTCCTGTTCTGTGGTGGTGCAATGCAGGGAAGCACAATTATAACAGGATAATAACAGGATAACAGAGCTGGAAGGGACCTTGGAGGTCTTCTAGTCCATTCCCCCTGCCCAAGACAGGAGACCCTGAACCATTTCAAACCAATGCTTGTCCAATCTCTCCTTAAAAGCCTCCGGTGATGGAGCAGGTTACAGATTAACAGAGTCGGAAGGGACCTTGCAGGTCATCTAGTCCAACCCCCCACCCAAGCAGGAGACCCTACTCCATTTCTGACAAATGGCAGTCTTTGTTCTTCTTGAAAGCCTCCAGGGATGAAGCTCCCACAACTTTTGGAGGAAGCCGTTGCACTGGTTTATTGTTCCTGGATGCAACATTCCAAAGTGGGGTCCAATTTGGACTGATGGGGGTTTTAATCTGGGTTTTATTGAATTTCTTAATTTTAATTTGGACTTCTGTTTTAATGTTCTGTTTGTTCTGTTTTAATCGTTGTGAGCCGCCCTGAGTCCTGTGGAGGTAAGGCGGCATACAAGTCCCATTAAATAAAATAAAATAAATAAATAACTAGTGTAGCATTTTATTTGTAACCTATGACTATCACTAAGTGTTGTATCTTATGATTCTAGATGAATGTATTTTATTTTTCTTTATGTCCACTGAGAGCGTATGCACCAAAGACAAATTCCTTGTGTGTCCAATCACACTTGGCCAATAAAGAATTCTATTCTTCTGTTCTGTTCTGTTCTTTCTTATTTTCTCTTCTCTGCTCTGCTCTGCTAATGCTGTGCTATGCTATGCTATTCTATTCTATTCTGCATTTTTATTCTATTCTATTCTGCATTCTCTTCTCTTCTCTCCTATTCCCTATTCAGTATATTCTCTTCTCTTCTCTTCTACTCTATTCTGCATTTTTATTCTATTCTATTCTGCATTCTCTTCTCTTCTCGTATATTATTCTCTATTCAATATATTCTCTTCTCTTCTTTCTGTATTGTATTGTATTGTATTGTATTGTATCGTATCGTGTTCTGTTCTGTTCTATTCTATTCTATTCTATTCTATTCTATTCTATTCTATTCTACTCTATTCTATTCTATTCTATTCTATTCTATTCTTTGCAACTAAAGTAACTGGTGTGCAAAACTAGAAAGGGCAAACCAGGGTTAATATAGAACAGAAGTTTCCTGCAAGGTCATTCATTGGTTTATCTTAAGTGCCCATAGGATAATACTGAATCAGGGCAGAAGGGATCATCGGCCCCATTTGGTGGTGTTAGAAGAAGAGTCGGGGGTTCCAAGTAGAGCTGGGGTTGCACAAGAATAAATAAAAATGAGATCCAGACAGCTGTGAGAAAAAAAGAAATAGTTATTCCTCAAAGCAAAACACGTTGCTTTTAGGGGCAGGAGAAATGGGGTACAGTGACAAACTTATATAGGGGGAGCTTGTCTGGGGTGTGGAAGTGTCTACATGCTGAGGAGTGTGTGTGCGTGTTTGTGTGTATTCTTGTGAACATACAGTTCCTCTGGGAGACATAATTTAATTAACTCTGTGTTTGTAGACCTTCTCCTTTGATATGTGGATTAGATGTAGGAAACTTATTTCAGGGTTTGAGGAAGTTTGCTAATTTGATTAACTGGGAGACACCGATTCTCAGATCCTTGTGGATTCTGTTAATATTTTAAGGGAAGATGGAAACAGTATAAAGAACAAAATATATTTGGATATAAAAATTCTCACAATGGGTCGGTGGGTTTTAGGAATCCAGAAAAAGGGCTTGACTCTGTTACCAGGTTGAATAGTTTTTCTGGAGGATTAATTTGATAAGTTTAATTTCTTAGACATGATGCAGAACAGAAAAGTAGGAGAGGTAG